GGCTTTGGGCTTTCGATGTTGACCCCTTGTTCTGATTACTTGTTGTCTCTTATTACTGTTCCTTTTAGTTCAGGGRTCGGAAGACTTGGTCTATAAGGGGTCAGGTAGTAAATACCTTAGACCTTGAGGCTTTGCAGTCTCAATTGCAAATGTCTGTATTCTGTTTTGCCATGGTAGTGCTGAAGCATCCAGAGACAGCTCATAAAGAAATGAGCAAAGCTGTGTCCTGTAAGGCCTAAGAAAACAGGTAGAATGGCCAATGGTCCTGGGATATGATTGCCACCTGCTGCCTAGACTATAAGCCTCTTAGGACCAAGGGGAAGCTGGGTTCTCTGTAGCAGACACCTGTACCAGGTGCTGGAGTTACTATGATAAGCAAGAGAGATGGGTCCTCACCTTTAAAACCTGTAGTATCTTACCGGAAGCTTCGTTTCATTTTGTGTGCATGATAAAATCTCAGGTAATAAGTTTTTGTTGGCCTTGAATGAGTCAGACTCCTACAAAAACTGCATCGTGCAGGGATTCTCGACTTGTCTGCTCCTCTTGTCCCTCACCATTGCCCTCAAGCGTTTATCCTTCATCCGGTGACTGTTGGAATCTGTGGCTGTGTGGTAGGTATGAACATAGATGGATGGGGAGGAACTTTGGTTCTCAGAGTCCTCCAGGACTTTTTTTTTGAAGATGGATTTGCTTTTCCTCCAAGTCTTTGAAAGTCAACTGTGTGGTACTGAGGATTTCCCAGACTGGGCCCTGTTCTTGTGGTCTAGTGGGAGAGGCAGATGATAAGTAAGTAGAAGCAAGTGTGTATTTATAAATTGTGGTAAGCACTAGGAAGGAAGCAGAATCGTCAGTGGTCAGGAGGCCAGTGGTAGCAAAAGAGGAGGGCAGATACCTGTTCAATGCCATCAGTGGAAGGGAACTTTAAAGTGGAGACTTAAAGAATGAGGAAACAGTCATGCAAGGAACCAGGAGAAGAGCATTTCAGCAGAAGAACCAGCCTGTGCAAATGCCCCAAGGTAAGAAAGACTTATTTGCTTAAGAAAGCGAAGCAGACCCACGGGACTGAGAAGGAGGAGTCTGGAGAGCTCTTGGAGTTGGGAAGACTGTGCAGCTGGAGCACAGTGAGAAACCACAGYGTTTGAGTCTACCCAGGCTGCCATGACAAAATACCACAGCCTGGGTGGCAGAACAAGACACACTTATTTTCTCGTAGTTGTAGAGACTGAAGTCCAAGGCTGAGGTGCCAACAGTGTTGGCTTCTGGTAAGGCCTGTTGCTCTGACTTGTAGACAACTATTATCTTGCTGTCCTCTTTCGTGGTCATTTCCCTGTGTGCATGCRGAGGGGAGAGACCTTTGGTGTGTGTTCTTCTTCTTATAAGGGCATCGGTATTGCTGCATGGGGGCCTCAGCCTGATGTCCTTGTTTAACCTTAAGTGTGTCCTTAAAGGTCTACAAACCTTGGGCGTGGGAACTTCGGGGTTTGGAGCCATAATCAGTCCATAGCAATGGATAATGGCATGACTCTGGTGGCTGTGTGAAGGTTCATTATGGAAAGTTTCCTTAGAGGCTCTGCCTCATTTTGGGAGAGGTATGACAGTGTCCTGAGTGAGGTTGGTGGCCGTGGGATGGAGAGGAGGGGATGGACCGGAGGTGTTTGGGGCCAGTCTTGTTGTACCCTCTGGCCATCCTTGACAGCTTACATGTCTGTCCCTCAGTAACCCGAAAGTCTCTAAGTAGTTCTGTTTCCAGGGTTCTAGTGCTTGGGACCTCACAGGTGCTTAATGGATGCTGATTAAGGTGCCCCTGTCTTCAGTGTTGTGGACCAGGGCTAAGGATGTTATAAGGTTTCCAAATCCATCCTGTCTGTTGTGCCTGTCTTCAGGGAGGATGGTTCAGGTTTGGAAAGCTTCCTTATGCCACTTAAGACTTCAAAGAAGTGAGTCCTTCCTAGTTTTTCCTTGGTTGTCTTAATTAACAGAGTTGCGTGATTCCTGTGTGTGTCTGCATTACACACACAGCCAGAGAACTTGACCTTGGTGCGTCCTGCCTCTGCCCTCCAACTCAGCCTCTCCAGATCTGTCTGGGTGGTGGGGGTTGGAGAGACACACCTTGCTCACTTGGATCCGTTCCTTCACAGTTGTCTGCCCCTCCCTCAACCTGGAAGAACTGGATGCAGGCTCTAACAGGGGAAAGAAGCATCCAGATGCTTGGGAGTTTGGGAGCAACGATGAAAACAATTGCTTGCCAAATGTTTCTATATGGTGCACCTAATGCCACTGAACAACATTCAAAACTGAATGTTGTGGTGTGGGCATRTCCCCAGAATTCATGTGTGCAAAACCAAATCCCCAGAGTCATCTGTCAATGGCATTTGGARGTGGGCCTTTGGGAGGTAATGAAGATTAGATGAGGTCACGAGGGTCCTGGGATGGTATTGGTGGCTTTATAAGAAGAGGCAGAAAGACCTGAGCTGGAGCGACTGCTGTCTTGCCATGWGATGCCTGTCACATGTCGGGATCAGCAAGAAGGCCTCGCCAGGTATTTGGGCAGGTGGCACCTGTCCTTGGACTTCCCGTGACTCTCGAACTGTGAGCTACAGGAACCTTGATTCTTCTTATTCCAGTAGTCTTGAGTATTCTATTGTACATAAGAACAGAAAATGGACTAACACAATGGTCAAAGTGGAAAAATCATGTGGGATGCATGTTACCAAATAAAAAACGTTTCTATACAGTGCTTTTAGATAGTTCAATATTTTATATATGCCTGTAGTGGAGAGCTTGGATCCTAACTGCCAATCACCAGCTGAGCCTCGGTCTCCATATTTGTAAKATCGAATAATGTCATCTGTCTCATGGGGGTTGCCCCGCTCTGTACACAGTGGGAGCTCAATACATGGTAGCCATTCTTATTATTTTTGTTCTTGAAAGGTTTTTTTGGTGAAATTTGCCTTTAAGAGTTTAGAAATTTTTAAATAGACTTATATTTGGAGAGCAAATGTTTAATACCTGAGCTGAAATCTACAAATTAAGTAGACTCATATTTTAAAGGGGATAATAGTCTAACTTATTACTTCCCAATGAGGGACAAGAGAACATTGTACAGGTAATTCTGGAGATGGAAAAATTCACAGTGATAGAGACCCACACACTTCTAGTTTTCTAAATATGAAGATAATAGCTAACAATGATAATGGCTGTTTATCGAGTTCTCACTGTAGGCTATCAACTGAGTTGAGCACGTGGTATAGGTCCTTTCACTTAAAATAATGCACATCAGTTTTTGAAACTTTGGCACTATTCTGGACATATGGATTTATAAATCACTTTTCAATTTAATGTGTTTGGACTTTTTTGATATCACTAAATACTCTGCCAATCATCGTCTAAATTAGTGTGCACTGTCCCACCGTATAAAGATGCAATGATTCATCTACACAATCAGTAATTCTTGGGCATCCAGGTTGCTTCTGGTTTTTACTGTTTTAAGTACACTGGATCAAAATCCTCAAAGAGGTACTTGAAATTTTCTGAAGTATAAAAATTATTTTAGATGCCCAAGATGCTAGATTTTGTGTCAAACATGAAGTCAGCTAAATACTTCCACTCAAAGCAATTTATACTCAATTAAAATACATAATAATTTATAACAGACATGGAGTACAGGAGGCCTCTCCTTGGAAAGTAATTTTTTTCTGCACAATGTTAATAATTACTGTGCAAGTTATTTAATGTCTTAGAGTTTTGATTGTCTTCTCAGTACAAGTAACAATAATACCTCCTTCAGGGTGACATTAAAAGTTTCAGGGAGCCAATGTCTACCAAGCTCCTTGTGTAGGGCCTGGTGCAAAGTTAACACCAAATAAATGTGAGCTGCTATTAGTAACAATACTGAGTCCCTGGCAATGTGAGGCTTGTGTAAATAGTCCAGGTTGTATGTCTGTCCTTGAGCAACCTGAGATATTCATGTAAATGTTTTCCCAACATAAATATAACTAAATGTGTCCTTCTTAGTTGTGTACAGTCGCTTTATGCAGTAGTAGGTACACAAAYTCCAGATAGGGGAGTGAGTGGAGGTGGAAAGGTGAGGGGTGATCCCTCAAAGTCACCAGTGAAATTTGAGGACCTCAGGTTGTATTTAAAATGTGTCACAGAACAAAGGCTCATTAGCATTAGCAAAAACCAGGCCTCTTAGGGCAATGGTTTTCCAACTCTGTCAGCCTAAGAAATTCAATTCCATCCATACCACAATGCAGATAAATGTGGTGGGTGTGTGTGTGTTTGTGTGTGTGTGTGTGTGTGTGTGTGTGAGAGAGACTTTTGTGAAACTTTTAACAAATGGCACTTATTCTTACCACGTGAACAATACTTTGATATTTTTTAGTCTGTTTCATTGAGGGTTTTTGTTTTTGTTTTGTTTTGTTTTTTGTACCTGGGATTGATCTCAGGGGCCCTCARCCTCTGAGCCATAACCCCAGCCTGTCTCAGCCTCCCGATCCACTGGGATTGCAGGTGTTCACCACCGCACCTGGCTATTTCATTGTATTTTTTTTTAATTTTTAAAATTTCTTTTAATTAGTTATACATAACAGTAGAATACATTTATGTACTTTAATATATCATACATAGATGGGATATAATTTCTCATTTTTCTGAGTGTACATGTTGCAGAATCATAATTGGTCATATTGTCACATATATACATACARTAATAATGTCTGTTTCATTCTACAGTCTTACCTATCCCCATATCCCCTCCCCTCCCCTCCCCTCACTTCCCTCTACCTAATTTAAGGTAACCCTATTATTCTTCCCTAGTGCCCCCCACCTTATTGTGAATTAGCACCGTATATTAGAGAAAACATTCCGCCTTTGGTTTTGTGGGATTGGCTTTTTGATGTTGGGTGTGACCACCAAATTTATTTTCCTGGGTAGAGACTCACAACCCAAACCTGGGCAGCAGCCAATCATTCTCCCTGGTTTGCTTTGTTTCCCACCAGATAGTCCCAGTTCGCCAGCAGAATGACCACGGAAAGAGACTCAGAAACAACATTTGAGGAGGATTCTCAGCCCAATGATGAAGTGGTTCCCTACAGCGATGATGAAACCGAAGATGAGCTGGATGACCAGGGGCCTGCCGCTGAGCCAGAGCAGAATCGGATCAACAGAGAAGCCGAGCAAGGCCGGAACACCTTCAAGAAAGGTAGCTGGAGGCTCGTGGCTGGGGAACACACTGGTAGATGCTCACATGGGTCACAGTGACCTATGCCAAGGAGAACCGTCTGTTTCACATGGTCTAGGAGGGCCTCTTCCTTTTCTGATCTCCTCCTAGGATGGGCTTGGACAAGTACCCGTGGCCCTCAGCATGGCAGGCAGGAAGGCCAGCCCTCACAAGTCCTGTGGAGGAGAAAATAGAAGGTCTTGGTTAGTGTGTCTTAAAATTGAGTTGTATGTGGAAGGATTTGCTCGTTACTGCCTCCAAGAATTTAAAAAATATACATATCAATCAATCCTTGGAAGCCAATTATTTGCATTGTTAAATTTTTGGCATAAATTATATCAGTGATCACTTGTGTGCACACACACACACACACACGTGTGTGTATAAATTAATTTGGCTCCATAATTAAGAAATGGTAGCGGTGTATGCTTGTGTGTGGGCTCACATGCCAGGAATGGATGAACAAGGGGGATATTCTGGGACAATTCCTAGGTCATGCCCAACTAAACGTACTTTAACAAATTAACCGGAAGGTGCCCCTTTTTAAAATTTATCCCTTTCTTTTTTTGCCACCAGAACTTGGGTTGCCACTTAGTGAGGGGAATTTCTCAAAAGTTATTTCGGAAGCAAGGGCCTTTCTGGGGAGTAATGTTGGAACATTAGATTGTCAAGGACTGTATGTGTGTAACACCAGCAGGACCAGATTTGAGCCTCTCAACACCTTCACCTTGTGCACCTGGCATTTCACGGGAGTCTGGCGTTCCCATACCTTTTGTTCAGTCATTTGTGAATATAAAATGGCTTTGGCTGTGTGGCAGGAATTTTTTAATGAGCCTCTATTTGCCAYGAGGGGCCCTGTCAGGCAGCAGCCGTGCCACCTGCAGGAGTCAGGCTGGCTTCAGGGGCAGGGTCTAGAGGAGGGGATATTTCATGTAAATGGCTGGACAGGAAATATTGTAGGCTTTGTGGACCACACAGGCTCTGTTGCAACTACTCAACCCTGCCCACATCACCTAGAGGTGGCCACGGCAGCAGGTCACGTAGGTTGACAGAGTGTGGCTTGCTTTCACCATTGTGCTTTTTTCTCTGTGGCTTTTCTGTTTCCTGCTGGTTCACCCAGCCTGTAAACACACATGGCCTCCCGAGGCTCTTCTGCTCCCAGGAAGCTGAGCCACTTCTTCTGTGGCTGCTCAGAGACAAGCAGAGGGAACTGCGTTTTGCCATTCAAAGAGGTCACCCCACACTGCTGCCTCCACCTCTCCAGCTGTGTCTCCTACTGCTTCATCACAAAGAAGTCTGGTTTCATTTGGTTTCCCCAGAGTCTGTCTGGGCAGTTCTGTCCTGCTGTCGCTCCTTGTCCCCTACTTTTTTCCCCTTTTCAGATCTGCCACCTGGTGAAGCTGTTGTTCTTTTTCTGAACAGTTTTTACCTGTAGAAAAGAACTCGAGACTCCATGAAATCCCACTGCTGTACTGATTCTTCTTCTTGTCTTGGTCAGGATGGGTCCCTCTACAGAGGACCTGTAGGGATCCATGAGGGCCCCCATCCCTCCACAGGCCCAGAACGCTGGGAAGCCAGGCCCCACGTGGATCCTTGGTCCTCCTGCTGTCCCTATCCAGCATTTAGATGAATGAGACTTGAATGAGGGCTTCCGGGTGTGAATTTAAGGTACTGAGAACTGACCTAATGGGCTTTCTGTCCCAAAGCAGAAGGTACTAAGATCATGATCATGATGGAATCACCACCAATCTGGACGGGAAGGTGGTCTCTGTCCTAAGAGGTGCAGAATGGGTATTAGTGGGATGGGGATTCAGCTGAGGTAGTAGCCAGACAGGTTAGAAAGGGAGWTGTAGGTGATTACCCAGAGAGTGAATAAAACTTGCTTCTTCCTCATTCCTTCCCTCTGCCACTTGAGTCTCCTATCACAACCTCACGATCTCTGCAGTCTGTAGATACCTGGTGAGTTGGCAGGAGAATTGGCTCTGTGGGGTGAAGGGTAAACTTTCCTGTTGGTACCTGGTACCACACGGTCAGATGTGTGGTCCCAGGATGCAGCAAAGGGACTGGGGTTGGGTGCCTGCTGAAATGTCAGAGGAGCACGTAGTGGGTGGAAACCCTGCCTCTGTGTTTTTCCACCTCTGCCTGCACATTCTGGTGGTCAGGGCCCTTTCCTATCCATCCATTTTCCAGAGCATCTGTTTTGTAGATTTCTCATAATATGGGCTTTGACAGCGCTTAGTCTTGATCTTGGCTCACAGTCTTTTCCAAAGGTGGTTTATATTCCTAGGGGATTTTAGTGGTTCTCATTTTCCAAAACCTCTGTCAAATGACTGGCTGTGATTTGTTACAAAAGTTATTACTCCAACAACTCTATTTGTCTTTCCCAAGCACACAAAGGACTTTCAGTAAATGCTCGAACTCTTCCTTCCCATTTCACTTCTGCCAGCATCCCCTGATGCTCTCCCTCCTGCCTCCCTCCCCCCCACATCCCCTTCTCCCCCTCCTCCTCCTGTTCTGCTTTTCTCCCTCCCTCTCCCTCTCCCTCTCCCTCTCCCTCTCCCTCTCCTTCTCCCTCTCTTTCCTTCTCGATGGGTTCTTTCTTTCTCCTCCCTCCCTCCCTCCCTTCCTTCCTTCCTTTTTTTTCTCTCTTGGGCATTTCTCAGTCAAGGTTGAGATCACCCTCATCTGTCTTTCTTGACACCTTACACCATGGATATTTTCCTTCCAGGAATTCAATTCTTGGGACACCAGAGCATGAGTCACCCTGTGAAGTGTCAGAGGGCTGAGTAGCCCTGGGCCCAGCCCCTATTCCGCCGCAGCCCGTGAACCCAGGTCATTTCTTTAATGACATCCTCGTCACCCAGAAAGTTGGTTTTTCTTTTTTAAAAGAATGAAAATGCCCCAGTCAGCTGAGCTTTCATGTTCAACAAGAGTTTTGAGAGACCCACTGAAAGTGCTTTTCCCTTGAAGGACCTTCATTGTGTGCTGTGAGAATCAAGAACAAGAGCAAACACGCTGCTAGAATGCACGTGGAGGAAGAGATAAGCAGGCAGAGTCGCTGGGGTAACTTTACCCTTAGTAAAGTGCTGGCAGGAACCAGCAGGAACGTTTTCCAGGCTTACGGGCCAACACTTGCCTTTCCTGGTGAACACAGGAGAACACTGGTTCTCCTAGATGGTCCCGGACACAAACCCAGAGACCGGAAACTTGGGATTCTTGTTCTCTGTCCATTACTATAGAAGGATCCAAGAAGTTTTAGCTTCAAAGAAACCAGTTGAACCTCATTCATCCAGAGTTCCTATAATTCCTTGACTGTGGGATGCTTTTTTTTTTTTAAGCCAACCACCCCTGATTCTTGTGACCCAGACCAACTCCTTGGGTAATTATGTGCCAGCAGGAACCAGCTTAGAGACAAAGTTCTAGGGAAGAAATTAGTGCCCCAGAGAGGGTTTCTGGTTGGCACATAGTGGCTGGGTCCTGCAAGCCTCTGCATGGGATGTGAACACAGCCCCCAGCCTCCTTGCAAAGTTGCTTTATCTGTCCTCGGGCCTTCCAGCTGTGGCTGGCTCACACATCTGCATGCTTCTGACCCAACCCCTGCCTTCCAAATCAGGTGGACATTCTGCCTCCTGCTTTCATGGCCAGGCTTCTGGAAACCCATCATGGACCATCCCATTCTCCCATTGCCCTGGGTTCTTCCCTCTGCGGGCTGCCCTGCCACCAGACAGATAATGCTCTTTTCAACGTCACCAAGAAGCCAGGTGCCAAGCCCACTGGCCTTCTGTCAGCTCTCATCCTCCACCGCTGTTTCCTCTGAAGCACCTGAACTTCCTAGCAGAGCCTCTCTCAGGAAGCCCTCCAAGTCCCCCTCCTGTCTCTCCTTCCTTCTGTTCCTTCCTCCTTCACCCTTTGGAGGTTCCTGTCCCCATTCACACTGTGTCTACAGAAGCTTCTGTAACCAGCTCACCTTTTTCATGCACCTATTCCCCATTTGTCACTCTGAGCGGTGTTTAAGAAGAGAGAGCCAGGCTCAGACCACGTGGGCTCTGGTCCTGCCTTCATTTCATTCTAGCTATGTGACCTTGAGGACGGGACTTCCCCTCTGTGTGCCTCAATGTACTCATCTGAAAAATGGGCTTCATACCAAGGCCTCCTCTATAGGGTGATTGTAAGGATTAAATCAGAAAGTAAATATGAAGGACTTAGGTCTGCTTTGGGGCATGCAGTAAGTGCTAAATAAATATCAACTATTGCTACCTCCCACCTTGCAGTACTCTCTTAATATTGTTCACTTCGAAGCCAAAACGTCATCTGCCCACCCATCCATCAGCTCCTCTTCACTTTGGGGTATTTGGATTCTCCTGCCCCAGCCCCCAAAACAGCTAAAGCTGCAGAGTCCTTCTTAGTAACAGATGATTCCCTCCCCAAATCCGAGAGCAATGGATGGATAAACGTCTGGATCAATAACAGTTCTCCCGGTGATCAATTTGTCCACATATCAAGGAACTTTGGGTGACATTCCTGCCTCGGCCACCATAAGCTTTTCCCTTCCAAACCATCTTCCCTGGGAAAGGCCGCCCCGGCTCCTGCAGAACAGCCGAGCGAAGCCAAGGCGGTGAAACCAGAAAGCCTCATTCATACCTGACTTGATGGGCCTGTATGTGAAGGATGAGGGGAATTCATTAGGGGAAGGGAGAGACCTGTGGGACCAAAGGGGCTGACATCCCGAAGCTCTATGGCAGGAGGGAAGGTGGCATGCTGGTGGCATGCAGAGGCACTGACATCAGGCCCTGGGGAATGAGGATGCCCCAGGGAATGTGCCTGTCTCCTTCCTATCACAGCAGAGTGTAAAACCTGAGTGACTCACTGTAGATGATCGTGTCAGTGCTGTGAGGGCCTGAGGGCCCACCTGTCCTACTCTGAGCTGGTTTTGGAGCCCTGGGCTCCATTCCTGCTTGCTYTCCAGGGGGTTTGTGAATGAA